TATATATATATTTTTTTTTTCTGTTGGGGGAGTGCTACAAAACAAAGGTAGTCTGGAATTTCTAGCCGAATATATTTTAGTCTAAAGTCATTGTTTGTTTTTTTCAAAACTGAAACTGTGTACAAGGAATTTTCTTTTCTTTTGAGAATGGATGTTGAGAACGTTTCTGGCTTTCCATTTCACCAGGAGATTTCTTAGTGCTTTCCTGTGCTTATGTGCCTGTCTTAGGAATTTTTTTGGCATTTTCTCAACTTAGTTCTCTAATGCCATTCAAATTCTGAGTTTCCTCCAAGGCCTTCAGGAGCTGATGGTATCTTTCATTCTCCTGTAAGCAATGCATTTTTCTGTAAAACCTGTTTATTTATGCTTTTTTGCATTTGCTAACATTTTGCATATTTCTTCTCATCCATATGTAATATCAATCTTGTGAAATTTTAATGCTCCAGTAAATAAGGATCAGTCCAGTTACAACTATAAACTCACTGGGAGTCCTTTCATTAACTTGAGGAGATTTTCTACCCTTGTAGTAGGAAGAATAAAAGACTATTGCAAGTGTAATAGATCTTTGTACGGCAGTGTTCCCAGATGACAGTACCATGACATCTTAAAACCTGAGGTACAGATAAGCAAAGCACATTTTATACTAGTTCTTTCTCATTGGTTACCAAGTGTCTTAACACCAGTTATCATTTCTCAAAAACACAATACTTATCTTTTAGTTTATATATAGGTGTAACGATTTAATCCCTTAATATAATAATATTGATAATAGTAATGGCATCACTTGCAGTAGTAGTACACTAAAAATAAATTAATGTGGTAGAATGGCCACCTTTTGAATTGTTTTATTGAAAATCGATAACACTTTGTAAGTTGGTTGATTTTCATAGTCTTAGGAAGTTTACCGACTTACTGCTATACAAAAAGTATTTTTAGCTGTTGTCTTCTGCCAAATATAGAGTGGTTCTCAGAAAAGAAACTAACAATTCACCTCAATGGGAAATTGGTACGTGTAACTCAGAGCTGCACTTGGCCTGTGAAAAATCATAATTTCCATATTGCCCCATAGAACATGGAAACATGGAAAAAACAGACCTTAATTAAAAGTCTTGAGTAGTGAAATGACCACAGACATGTAGAAAATAGACAATTCCTTCACTGATGTTAGTGGGCTTTGGACCAGGTCACTACTTTCTACATCAGAGTGCAATTTGATTTTTACTGAGATAACAAGGCAGACTTTGTTTCAGATTGGAATATGATGTCATGTGTTTAAACTTTATTATTTAGATTAATGAAAATTTGGAATTGGTATTACAGTGTCAAAAACTTATCAGTGCTCAGGTAGACACATGCCTGATCGCATTAGTTGTAAATATACAATTGCCATTGAAGTCAGCAATAGATGGTTGCACCCCAGATCTTCATGACTTTTCTCACTCATTTCCCAAACTGTAGCCGAAAGCAATTTTTGAGCAAACAGCTAAGAAATTACAGTAAATGGCAATATGGATTGTGCCAGAGAAGTGAGTGGGAGAAAATTACATATGTAAATGCCTGAAGAATTGGAAAGTTGGAAAGAAGACAGACAAATTTTGTGTGCAAGTGCCATATTTTGATGCCATTAAAATGAAATAAAATCAAACACGCCCTTCCCCCAATTTTCCCTCTTACATAAAAGAAGCAGAAATCCTAATGTGCTAAATGAAAGCTCCTTAGTCTGTGGTGGTTACTGAGCTTAGTGTTGGTCATGCACAGTTAGAGCAGCGTACCAGCAGCCACTTGTACTAACTGTGCAGCTTACATGCCAGAAAAGCTCTGTCCGGAGAGAAGATGTGGATTTTTCTGTTTGGTTTGGTTTTGACTTCTTTGACATTTTTAACAGAATTTGGATGTGCTGAATTAAATTTGAGGCTTCTCCAACCCCTTCTCCCTAACTGTAGTCCCGCCCCCCCATCCCTAAACCTGCCTCACGATTCAGCCACTTAGTTGAACAATAGTTTTCTTACAGGAATTATTTTTGAATGCTTGGATTTAGTTAATTCTTTTACAACTAAGATGCTATATTACTTGAGTAACATGAAATAATCCTACAGTAAAATGACCCAGATCAAGAGGGTTTTTAATTTTGTTGGGAGAGAGACTCTCTCAATAAAGACAGGCATCATAAATTATCTAGGCTCCAGATAGGATCATATTTGGGCTGCTACTGCTTTCTTCTTTGGTGCAATTCATACTCTGACTGACACTGCAAATACTATTAATTAAAGAGCACAAGGCTTGCTATCCGAGTAGAAATGCACACACGTCCACTCACATATTAGTCTATGTTTGGATGTCATCTAGCAGGACATTTAAGTGAGAGGGACTTTTTCAGTTGTTCTGGTTTCGGTAGGTTTCTCTGTCAGTATGGCAAAGATTCACTCATTGACCCAGGAAGTCAAAAGAAGATGCCTGAAATCAGGAATCGTGCAGCAGAAACCAGACACGTCAGCTGCAGAAAAATAATGATGATTTTTTTTTTTTTGTCATCTGTTCTATTGGCTACTTAAGAGCTGATAATTTTAGAAGTGTGTTTGGATCTAATTCTACAGATGCCCCAAACTCTTACTGCACTGTAATTTTTTACAGTTACACTGCAACATCAGTGGGTAGTGACAAAAGCAAAATTTTGCACTCTGTTGAGGATAAAGGAAGAAAATAAAATATCGATCGTCACCTGAAATAGCATAGGTTGATAATGTCTAAAAATCTTATTCATATTAATAAAAATTGAGCTTTTTAATATTTCAAAACCAATTAATATTTCTGACCTAACTGTTGAACCATTAATCTTGTATACTTGAGTGTACATGAGAAAAGAAGACTTTACTTGAGCTCAGAGTAGGAATTTGACATAACATTAAGAAGCTTAGAGGTGAGCGTGTCTTTTTTTAGTTACTTTTTTCCAGTTAGACTGTTGTGTTCTGTGTAACAGCTCAACAATTTTTTCTTGTAGAAGACAAGTATTGTTAAAAACAGTCCAGTGATGCTTGTTCAGCTTCCTGATGTTTGAACCCTAAACAGAGAACTCTAACCTTAACTTTGAAAAATGTCTGTTGTGTTTATTATCTGATTGATATTTGATATTTATGGTCAAGTTCAAATAGGTCACTTTAAAAATAATTTTTTACAGATTGAAAGACATGATAACTGTGCATATGACTACTTGGAAATTCGAGATGGAACGAATGAGAACAGTCCTTTAATTGGTCACTTTTGTGGCTATGACAAGCCAGAAGACATTAGATCTACCTCTAATACCCTGTGGATGAAGTTTGTTTCTGATGGAACCGTTAACAAAGCAGGGTTTGCAGCTAACTTTTTTAAAGGTAAATGTTAAAGCATATTTTGGGAGCTATGAACTGCTTTTCACTTGTTTTTGTACTAGAAAAATTATGACAGGATATTAAAAATATTTCTCAACCTATTTTTACTAATATCAGTTCTGTACTGTCTCCAGCATATTTTTTTACCTGGGCATATAATTTTATCAAAACAAAACAGTAGAGGTATTTGAATGTCCTTGTAAAATATGTCCAAAGAATGAAGGGACATATTCAGTGCAACTTCCTACTCTCTTCAGGTTCAAATAATCAGCTTAGTTTTGAAAAACCTTTGAAACATACCTAATCTTGCAAAAAATGGGTTTTTTGACGTTGTGTTGTCAAATATAAAGTTAAATACTATAATCACAAATGGCTCTTTTCTGTTAAGGTTTTTTTCTTTTGTCTAAATGTTGTGGTTTTTGTAATCCATTTGCTGCATTAGGCTGCTTTAGGAATTTATTACTTTCCATGAGCAAGAAAAATAAAACAAAACAGCTGAGAAATCATAGTGACCAATGGCCTCACAGTCCTCCTCCCGTTTTGGGGGGTGTGGGGGTGTAGGCGTGTGTGTCATACAACTGCAGCTATACCTGCAGCATTCGGTGCATGGGGAGTGTGTAATTCCTACCCTGTGCTGCCCACGGCACAGTGAAAGCCACTAGCAGCGGTGTGGCCATGGTGACACCCGAAATACAGGTCGCGTCACCAGGAGAACCTTTTTGCTCTTTTGAAAAGCCACAAGCTGGCGCTTTTCTCACCCTAACTGTTAGTTTTCACTGTAGACAATTATAACTTTGAAGGATGTAGACATGAGAGTGGGAGCTCTGTTTTATTCCTAAGAAATTACTTGTCCTGGTGTAAGGAAACAATATTTCAACATCTGAAGAATATTTTAACAATGAATCTCATGGGTGTACTTCAGAGCTAGTAGAGATATTACATTATTCCTTTCCCTCCCCCATCCCTGATGCATCTTGTTCCCTCTAATATCAGCAGAATGAAAACCTGGGATTTGAGGATTCTGTTAATCTGTTTTTGAGTATGAATTTGGGATAAGGCACAAATTGATTCTGTGGGAGATAAAGTGCCCTTCAAGTGACCCTGCTGTGGATTTTCAATCTTTCTTTCAATACTTTATACAACCTTTAGATTACTGAGTTATTGTATGCTGCCCACAAAGTGCTTTAAATTAGGTCTGCAGCTGTCAGTAGGTATTGTTGTAAAAAAAAAAAACCACCCAAACCCCACAAAGGACAAATCTTTATTTTCTCCATTGCAGGTCTCCTTAGCATTTGAAAATCCTCTAGTCAGCAACTACAGTGTGTTATGTAGTGCATCTTATAATGGCATGCATACAGCTTTCTGGGTTAATATTGATCCAGCAATAACAGCTGAGGAAGGTAATTATTTAACACGTTTTTGCATTTTTCCCTGTCTTGGCAGAGGAAGATGAATGTGCCAAACCTGACAATGGTGGCTGTGAGCAGCGCTGTGTAAATACTCTGGGCAGTTACCGGTGCGCCTGTGATCCTGGCTATGAACTCGGTCCTGACAAAAAGAGTTGCGAAGGTACAGTGCGTTGCTGTGTTATGGGCTCTTAAAGCTCACAGAGTGCCATCGCTTGAATGAAATGCTACCCCTTTCACATGCTCTGTCCTAGTGTGAAATCTGTGGAACCCAACCTGGAAAACCAGTGCTCCCTTTTAAGTCGTGGTGCCAGAGTAATGTCTGTCCACAGCAGTCCTCTTCATCCGATGTCTGTCACTAATTTAACTTTACAGGTTTTGCTGTTAGTTGATTGGGAGCAATGCAAGGCAGGACTTCCTACCTTCCCAAACCGCTTGTTACGTTATTCATACTCATTAAAGCAAAGTCTCCCGCCATGCATAAGGAGACAATTATCAGCAGAGCAATGTGCCACTGCCTCAGAAGTGGCATATTTAAACGATCCCTCTGACCACCTCTGACCGGGGTGTGACTGGGAAGCTGGCAGGTTTGAAGAGCAGGATCCTTTATTCTAGCTCAAAGCTCAGAGAAATCCTCCCCACTCCCAGTCAGATTGTGGACTTTTCTTGCTGGAAACAAATTCTACTTTTCAGGGTGAGCAAAGCGTGTTCAAATAATCATTCGGAGAAATAAAAACCTGATAAGTGGAAGATTGTGCAAACATAGGATTGGACTGAGATTTACATTCTATAGATATTTCATATCAAAGGAAAGAAGCAAAAGCTTTTGATCATTACACACCAATTATTGTTTGATTTTTTTATTCATAAACACCAATAAATTCAGGGATAGCGCAAATTATTCTAATCTCAGTTCATCTGTTTGTTTGAGTAGTGAAATGGATTTTGAAAATTGGAGTGCTCGGAGTTATGGTTTTCTTCTGATGCGATTCACTGGTCTCTCTTTTTTCCAATTTCCTGGCTTTAATTCATGGTTTGTCACAATTTGGGGAAGTTTTGCTTAGTTTCTTTGCACTTTTCGTTCTTTTGCTTTTGGTTCCGTGGGGGTGGTGTTGGTTGGTTGGTTGGTGTGTGTTTGTGTGAGGCATGTTAGATTGTGGCTCTCATCAAGCTGGTTGATATTTTAGTTGTTTCCTCCCTGCCCCCAACATAAGCACATCGGAAAAACAATTTATTTAGATGTCTGCATATTAGACAGCATGCAGAAAGCAAGGTTAATATAAGGGGGGGCATGAAGACAGAGGTTTGATCTCTGGGCCTTTGATTATCAGCCCAAATTTATGTAAGGAATTTGGTTTAGTCTGCCTGCTGGCATGAGTCAGAATATTAGGGAAGGTTACCGGTCTTTCAGAAAACTCTTTCCTCTGCCTCCAAAAAACAAACAAGAGAATACCTCCCCGGCACCCAAACAGAAAAGCAACTCTGGCAAAAGGAGAAGTCACTCAAAGTAGTGCAGTGCAGTGTGGAGCAAAAACCCTGAACTATCCCTAAAAGTATATATGTATTTGTTCCACGTGACATAGCACTCACTGTGTGTAGATACTATTTGGGACTGCTGAATTAAAATCACTGCGTAGTCACAATGAGCATTACATCCTAGTTATAGTTTAGGAATTTGAGGGGTGACCTAGCTGTATTAATTCACACATAATGCCAGAGTAGAAGCCTCTAACTCAGAAACTCTGCCCAATGCTTCACTGCCGTGTTGACATGCACAGAAAATTGCTTCATGGTTGTCTAATCCAAATCTCCCCCACTGGCAGCATATTAGAAAGCTTTAAGATTTTTTTTTTTTCAGTATTTCCACATTTCCCACCGTTGCCTCAAGGAACAATGGAGTGACGTTGAAAAGCAGAAGTTGAAAACTAGCAGTAGTTGTCCTGACCCAGACTGGATCATTTGTGGGTACACCTTGTGTCACCTGAATGCAGTCTCTAAACCTGTGCCTGGTCTTTTTCTACACACTGAGGTGTGAGCCAGGGTCTTGGTCCCCCCACCGTGGTCAGATTACCTTTATGTGTGTACCAAGAACTCTTCTGCGTGGAAAGCCAGGTGCCAGCAGGAAGACTGGTATGGGTCTGCGTTGGCCAAATGAGCCCTGACCCAGAAAGTGGAGAGTTCTCCCAGGTGTGCTAGATGAAGTAGATGCAGTGTGTGAGACCATCAGCTGGACAGGAATAGCCAGTTTTTAAGGCATTCAGCGTTCACACAGAGCAGTTGGAAGAAGGTGTAGCTTCCCCCCGCCAGTTCTTTAGAAAGAGATTTGTGGATGATTTCCAGTGCTGTCACTGTGCTGTAATGGTATCAATGCAGCAGAGTGTGATCGAGAACCCCCACAAATCCCATTACTTTCCTTTTTAAAAAAAAAAAAAAAAAAAAATTTCCACTGATGGAAAAGATTAATGTGTTTATCCTTTGCTATCTGAACTGCATTCACAAACACAGTACAGTATTGTTCTGTGTATGGGGGTGACTATTCAGCATATATTTGGAAATAATAGGTATTTTCTCTGTTACTTGAACATCCATACTTCAGCAAAAGTAATTGTGATTGAAGAGTACGTGACTGCTATCCCAAAGAAGTGACCTTATCTAGTAGGTTATGGGAGGCATATACAACTATATGAGCTGAGACAGGTAGGGCTGATTCTAGATCAATAATCAAGGAGAGAAGCTGGGGAAATGTGAAGCGCATCTCAAGTAGTCTGTCTGTCAGAAGAGGGGTGGTCAAGGTCCTGGGGAGGGCGGTGAGGTCAGAGGACTTGCATGGGAAAGGCTGTGAGAGAATAACCAGAGTCTCTGGAGGGAAGGGAAAAGAATGAATATGATAACGCCTTGTGTAGTCCTGAAACTTATCTCTGTCCGCAAACCTGCAAGCTGTTCAAGACAGGGGCTGTCTCCTTCTCTTTGTTTGCACCAAGCATGATAAAACAAGATTCTGATTAGTCTGTCTGGGCATTACAGCAGTATAAGTAATGAGAGGACTGAATCTTCTCAGTGTGCTTCTGTTTATAGTAAAACACGGTTTCAGTCAAGAAAAGATGCTCTCCCTTTTGATTTTACAGCTGCTTGCGGAGGACTCCTGACAAAGCTAAATGGGACTATAACCACACCAGGGTGGCCCAAAGAGTATCCTCCAAACAAAAACTGTGTGTGGCAGGTGGTTGCCCCGACGCAATACCGAATTTCAATGAAGTTTGAGTTTTTTGAGTTAGAAGGGAATGAAGTAAGTAACCGTGAACAAAGAGCTGCACAATCTGTTATATGCTAAAGAGTTTCACAAGCATTCAAAAATAGATATTGTCTTATAAAATCCTTGCTGACTGTTCATATGCTGACAATAATCATAGATATTCTTTTTTTTCGTTTTGGGACTGTTTCTGGATTCTTTCAAAACAAACATGGAAAGAATAGCTCTCTTTTACATATCATCTAAATGTATATGTATTACAAGAAATTTAAAAGAAATGTTCTCTGCTGAGTCTCAGCTGACTTTTTTTTATCAACAAAGTAGAACAGAGCAAATGGCTGAGGCATATTGGAAAGAATTCAAGAGAAGAAAATCTGGAGAAACCAAATCATCTTTACAGACTATGACTACAAAGAATACACATAAGCTGTGGTTAGTGACGGAGCAAGGGAGCATTTAAATCACTTACAAGTATCTCATGAGGGGAATATTTCAGAAGGAGCAGTACCAGAAATAAGGCACGAACATGGCAGTGTTTGAGCTGGGCAGCCCCCGGAGGCATAGGGGATCTCGTCCCCAGGTAGGGGAGAGGGGTAGGGCAGAGCCCTCCATGTGGTAAGGGCTGCTCCCTATAGCTTTAAACAAAGTGGTGGGGGTTGCAGTGTTTTTTGCACGCGAATCAGTAAAATATGGGTTTCAACATCAACTTTTCAGCTTCTGTTCTGCTTCCTAGGCAATGCTTTGCCATACCATTGAGCTCCCTTGCCATGCTCTAGCCATAATATGCTGTAACCATCAAGTTTATCTGGATATTCTTCACGTGGCGTTAAGAACCCAAATCCCAGGACATTATTTCTGATCAAACAAATTTGTAGCAACATATTTGATATGAGGATGAGTCATGTTTTGGGCATGAGATCTGAAGTGGCAAAAGCTGGAGTTTAATTTATAACTAAGAAATAACCCAGCCATAGCTTCTCCAAAATACTCAAAATTATTTGTAGAGACGACAACGTAAGAATTTTTTTTTTTTTTTAAATAATTTATGGTGGGTTCTAAAGTCCATGAAATTCCAACTTTTAATGATTTATATGTCACACTCACATCCTGTTATCATTATTACAAGAACTGCAAAAGGTGTAACAAAAACTTACAAATCCCAGAGAATTAAAATTTAATTGCCATTTGAACAAATCATAAAACATTTTTCCTGCACTTTCTTGGAACTTAAGCCAGACTTGCCAGGAAGACACCTGGGGCGTAATGAAGTTAAATCAGTTTTCTAAGGCCATAGAAGACACGTAACTTAAGCAGATATGAAAAATATATGTGTAAAGTTTTTCAACATTTAGAACTTTGGTTTGATCCTCTCCTGTGCTACTAAATCTCAGTTTTGTACTATTAAAAAGTAGTACTAAGAATGGTACCTGTGAAAATCAGAAGAAACATATAATATCTAGAACATTCTAATATATTGTCTGAGTGCAGATATAAAATGTATACGTTTAACAAATGCTCTAAATTTTGTTTTGTTATAGGAGCTCTATTTAGGACCAAGTTTAATATGTCTTTTCCAATATTACAATTTTAATATTTTACATTTACATTTTACAATTTTAGTTTTACATTTAACTTGTGAAGTTTTTTAAATATAGTGTAGTATGAAGGAAATTAGACCTATCTGGAATTACATTTAATTTCTAATCTGAAGCAATGAAACCATCAAAACTCACCACTGATGTACTGCTCAAATTGCTGGGATTTATTAACGTTGTGAGCTATATTTGAAAATCACATGCATTAATATGAATTTATCTTACAATTAATATAAATCAGCATGTGGCAGTAACTCAAGTTGTATGAATCTTTGTGTTCTTTATATTGTATAAAAGTAGTTTCAACTGAATTAGTCACTTTCCAACTGTGCAACATATGAAAATTGTTCCAGTAACAATGAAAATTTAATCTACATCTAGAATGTATTATATTAAAAACAATTGGAAATGTTGACAATCATTTAATATTTCATAGGGAGAGAGAGCAACAAAGGCCAAAACATCCTTTTCAATAGTTCTCCCCTCCAGCTCCCCTGATGTTTCTTTTTTGACTAGAAATTGCGGTTTATCAAATACAACTTGGATTTAATGGACAATCTAAGCTCTGTATGAATCCTACTGGCCACTGTTTTCTCTTAAGCTATTAATTGCAGACAACTGGGACATTTTTGATTAAATGATTGATAGTTGAGCCTAAGAAGCTTAGAAGTTTTTGGGTGGAAAGCTTTAGGTTGACCAAGGGATTATGCATTGAAAGTATTATCGCGAGTAATAGACCTTGCATAAGACTTTTTTATTACATTATTTTACTTTATTTTTAACCTTTTAATGAAAATGACATGCATCAGCCTTCCAAATTATAGCTATGCTACTGTTAAAGAAAGATGTATGGTTTTAATAGTGAAGATTTATATATTTGTAAATAAATGAATATGTCTCAAATACATTATAGTAAAAAATTTTCTTGTAAGTTTCTAAGTGAAAATTAATATTTGGAAAAAAAAAATCTATGAGATGCAAGCAGTAGGTTTGTAGGTTCTGGGTATGTCGTTTATAGCACAAAGATAGCTATAATTTTTAGGGTGAATATTTCTAGGTTTTAGTCTAATGTCACTAGAATTTTTACTTTTTAAATTAAATGGAAACATTACTAAGCATCTTGAAATTTAGATACTAAATACAGATTAGTATCTATCAAAATATAGTTTTGAATGTAATGCATAGAATAGCCATGACTTAGTGACCTTAAAATATTCTTACACAAAGTCAGGGAATGTTTGTAAGCATTTACAAATGTTTTCAGAGTCGGGGAAAAGTGAAAAAAGATATTATTAATCTATTATTAAACAGCATATACCAATCAGAGTTCTTGCATTTGTAAACAACTTCATGCTTTTCTTTTGGTTAGCCAAAAAAAAATTTTTCTTTCTTCTCTCAGGTTTGCAAATACGATTATGTGGAGATTCGTAGTGGCCTTTCTTCTGATTCTAAACTACACGGTAAATTCTGCGGTACAGAAGTGCCTGAAGTTATCACCTCTCAGTACAACAACATGCGAATTGAGTTCAGATCTGACAACACCGTGTCAAAAAAAGGCTTCAAGGCACACTTCTTCTCAGGTATAGAAAATTACTTGTGTGTACCTGTGAGCATACAGTGACTGCTATATTTTGGTATGAAAGTGAGTGGCCTTTTCCCTTATAGTTTTCCTGGTAGCTTTGAATTTGCTTTATTTGTAGAAGCATAAACCGCTCTCCTGTCTTAAAGTACTGTTCTGAATTGTAATGTGTGTAGAAACTATATGGAATGCAAATATATATATTTAAAAAACAGCAGAGGCAAATAAACTTTATGAGATATGGAGGAAAAAAGCAAATTTGCTAAGTGTACCTAAATTTCAATTAGATTTCTTTTATCCCAAGTTTTGATGCTATTTTTTCAAATCCCAGCTGTAATGTGAGACAAATTACATACTGTGTACACTTGTATGTTTTTTCACTCAGGTCTCTTAATAGGTCTCTTAATGTATTGCATTAATTATGAAATTACCACTTTGTGCTACAACATTTGTTTAACATTATGGGTACTTTCTTGCCAAACTTTACACTTCTTAATGTTTTGCAGAAGAACAGAGTTTAAGACCTTGCTTTTGCAAAAATGTCTTGTCTTTTTAGTTATGAGTGTAATTTCACTGAGGCAGATCAGAGCGATGGAAGTTTGTATCATCTGAGGACATGTATCATTTAATAAAGTTAGACATGAGTGATGGTGAAGATGTGAGGAAATATTTGCACAACAGTGGTCTCTTCAATTACTCGTTGAGACTAGATTATAATAATCTGGCTGTGGCAGGATACCACCTGGTGTTAGTGGTGGAATTTTGCTTAGTGTTTTTCTTGTGTGTTTACAGACACACACATGGATAGGTATGTTATCTTGTGTAAAACAACAAAACAAAACCATCCCGCCCGCCCACCTCCCCAAACAGGAAGTCATCCAGAAGCATTTGGGATTTGAATTCTGCCCCAAGTTTTTTGATAGCAGTTAAAAATCTGAATCTGGAGACTCCTGATTATGTTGTTTGCATGTAGCAAAATATATTACCAGGCACTGTTATTAGGGTTTTTCTGCTAAAATATTTTATCAAAGCTGAAATGAAAATAGTATTTCATTGGTTAGCTTTAATAACTGATAACTTAACTATGACCAAGTAATAAGAAACAACATATCGTATAAGTGATGTGGTTTGGAAGGTGAGGAAAATAACTGTCAAGACAAACAGTTTAGACTGTCAATGTTTTCTCATTATTACTACTTTGACGTTTTTCTTAAGCAATTATGAAAGATGAAAAAAGTGTTTCATCTCGTACAAAGAAATTAACAAACATTTTACTTCCTCTAACACTTTTTTTTTTCCTAGTAATCACATTTCTCTGGTCATATTCTTTCAGATCCATCTTTACATATAATAGCACTTTTTACTTTTAAATTTATATTTTACATTAGTGAAAAGCTTTCAGGTTTACTTGTTATTTGTAGTAAATACATATATGCACACAACAGAGCTTCCTCCAGAAACACTTACACAACTAGTCATTTCATGTTGGCCTAGTA